GCGCCCGCCGCGGCGGGTGCCGCCGGAGAAGAGGCCGGTGGGGGGGGGGGGCGGGGAGCGGGCGGCCGCCCCTCGCTCCCGGGGTGCTCGGGCCCCGGCGCCCTCGGCCGCGGCTGTGTGCCGGTGGCTGTCCTGAGGGTGTCCTGCCTCTCCCTGCAGCTCAACCCCGACGTGAACGTGTTCCAGCGTAAATTCGTTAACGAAGTCAGGAGGTGTGAAGAAATGGACCGCAAGCTCAGTACGTTTCTCTCTGGGTTTTGATATGGCTTGAACGCTGCAGCTTTTACCGAAAAAAAAAAAAAAAAAAAATCAATGGAGGCTAAACCTGCAAGGCAGTGTCAGAAAACAAAGCACTGACCAGAGGAGCAAAGGCTGCCTTTCTCCTCTGTGTCAGCCAGTCAGACTGCCTCCAGGGATTCGCTTCCTGCTTGAAAGATAACTTACCAAATAAGACGATCTTGGAGTAGGAGGTGAAAGAACTCACATCTGCTCATCGGGCTAGGTGGAGGTTACAGCGGCAGTTTGACATTGAAGTATTGTTTTAGTTAACATTAACAATGCTGTCTCTCCAGGGTTTGTTGAGAAGGAGATTAAAAAAGCAAATATTCCTATCATGGACACCGGTGAAAACCCGGAGGTGCCTTTTCCACGTGACATGATTGACTTGGAGGTAATGATGTGCGTTAAGACTCAAGTAGTATTTGACTCTAGATGGAAACAGGGGAAATTAGCTCCGTTGGTAGATACTCATTGAATTGAGTCAAAAACTGTTGGAACTGCGTGGTTTATGGTGGGTCTGTGTTGAAGTTTATGAGGGTTTTTAATGATTTGAAGAACACTGTGTAAATCCAGTCTATAAAAGACTGGCTGAGTATGAGAAGTTTCAAACTGCCTGAAGAGAATGTCACTGATCTGGAACTGTGTGCCATAGCAGACTGGAGACGCATCTGTAATTGCATGCAAATTGTGTGGGGATGCAAAGCATCTTGCCTACTTTCTTGTTTTAATAGACTTAATAGCACTCATTTATGGAATTACTTTAAGTCCTTTTTCCTTCTCCTTTTCACATCTTGCAGGCAAACTTTGAGAAAATTGAAAATGAGCTTAAAGAAATCAACACAAACCAGGAAGCTCTGAAGAGAAACTTCTTGGAGCTGACAGAATTAAAATTTATACTGCGTAAAACTCAGCAATTTTTTGATGAGGTCAGAATACCGGGGGCGGGTTAACACTTGGGGAGCTGGTTCTTCTCCCATAAATTACCATTTTTATTCTCAAATATATTTTCAGTTGCTGTTTTGGACAGCAGGGTCATTTTTATGCTTTGTTTAAGAAAGCTTCTCAAATTATTTTCCATTTTTCATGCAGTACACATAGCTACCCACGATTTACCTCTTATGATGTTGTTCTGGGTTTGTTTTAGTTAAGGTTTGTCTAAAAATTGTGTGCAATAATTAAGATGCTAGTGGTCGTTAAAGCACATCAACAGACCAAACATTTGGTGCTACAGTGAGCCCTTTCTTCAGTGGGTAAGAGTTTCTTTGGTACATATGGAGATAAACAGTCATGCCTGGCTTTCACAGAGGAATTAGCCTTTGAAAGGTTATATGGAGATTACTCATTAGGGTCAAAATACGAAGTCCACTGAATAGATTATTTGTTTGTTTGTTTATTTGTTTATTTGATTGAGCCTTTGATCAAACCCTAAAGTTTTCAGAGGCAAGTTCTGGAGCAAAGCTGCCTTTTAAAATCTTCAACATTTTGTCAAATAATTGCTAGGCCAGAAACTGGCAACTGTTTCACTGGACCTGAGAAGAGCTTCTCTGATGTCATTCATGATACAGACATAAAGCCTGTGTGAGAGAAGATATAATCCTTTGTTGTAAAGCTTGACTATCTGAAAGTCTAGGGAGTTTTCTCAAAGAGCTCCTGTATGTTTTTTAGAATGAGGACATGTTTTTGCTGAGTATATGTCCTGTTTCCTCTAATCCAAGGATTTGATCAAAGAATTCTTAACAGATATGGCTTCTGGTATTTACAAAGGCTGTGATCAAGTAGAGCTGGGCTCCTGCAAACTTCAGACCGTTTATCTAACGGTTTGTTTTTTGGTTTTTTGGCATAGGATGCTGCCTGTTCAGGCACTAAGGTTGTTCCCGTGCCAACACAAGTCTTAGTCACTGCTGACATAGATACTGCTGCTAGTGTGATTGGTTGATTGGTCATGGGGTTGGTTTCAGTACAAAAAAACCTCATCTTTAAGTGTTGAATGGTCACTTACCAGTGTCTCCTTGGACAAACAGCGTTAACCTGATAATCTATTATTTAGCTGCGTTAAGGGGCCACTGCCTGCCTGTTCTGAGTATTGAGTAAAACCAAGTACAGCTAGTGCTGTGCATTTTATTAATTACTGTCCTCTCTGGTGAAAGCTGGCTACTGCTTTTCTTCAAGTACAGTATGATCATACTAAATTTAAAGATCAAAATCAATTTTCTAAGCAGTCTGTGTCAGGTCACCCACAAAATGGAATTCATGTCAGACTTAAATGAACTGGCCACAGAAAGTTTAGATACGTTCCTGCTCCTGTTTGATAACTGTTTTCTGTAATAATAAAACAAAATACAACAAATAAAATGTACTGCTATATGTAAAAGCAAACTGAACAGCTCATGTGTGAAGTTCAGTAAAACATAGGTGTTGAAAATTTAAAACTGTTTCAGTTCACATGATAAACAGCAATCAGCTGTGCGTGAGAGATCCTGACTAGTCCAGGACTTCTGAGCCTTGTGCTGCCTACTTATTATCCCGAAGTGGTGAATGCTTCATTTCTTCATGCTGTCATTTGCACAGTACCTTCAACACTTGAAGACTTCAATAACTTGTAATTAAGATTGTGTTATTCATAGTAATAAGTTGCACAAGAAATGGCTTACTATCCAAATTACTTTATACTTGGCACTTGCTCTGCCCTCTGGAGTTTGTGCACTGGGGGAGGGAGGATGGCAAAATTTTTTCACTTGTTCTTCATATGACCATTCTAGTCAAAGTAGCCATTTCTTGTTTCAACATATCATGTTGATAATTATGCTCCTTTTCTCAGTCTTCTTGTCTTTGCTTGTGAAGAACAGTATGAGCTGGAGAGATTTCTCTGAAAGTTTTGCCTAGAGTGTGAGCGTAAAAGAAGACTGGAAAAGTAATGGTTAATGGCATGCAGTCCCCTTTCTCTCTTTCCTCTAACTCTTCTTGCCATCTGCTTTTTTCTTTGTTTTGCATCTGTAATTTCTGTCTGGGCTCTGGGTTAATAAGTTAGATGGTGAAATAAATTACTTTTAGTTCTTGTGAAAATTGATTTTTGTTCTGTTTGTGAACTGAAAGGGGCTTGAATTGTATGGCACTGTGTGTAGTGATCCAGAGCCGTTACAGAGCAGAACTATAATCAAGAGTAGGGAAAATGAACCTCATCTTCAGGCCTTGAGATTAAAGGTGCTGATCTGGGTGAAAAACAAGCAATTTGAAAATGTTTAATAATTAAAGGTCTGCATTCTAATTACTGGCATGCAAATGCTTGGTTTTTTCCAATCCTGAGTGACCTGGTGTAGTAAAAATACTTCACAATAACTATGATATTTCACTTGCTGCTGGTGAAAACTCTTATTCAAAGTAAATCTCCTAGAGCCTTGTTTTTCTGCATTGTAGCTGGATAGCTCTTTCATTTCTACATAGCCTCTCAATTTTTTATTTCTGTTAAATCTTACAGTGCTGCTTTAGTTATTCTTCCAGAACCAGAGCTGATGTTGCCATGCCGTTTCCTTTCTAGAAAGGGTGTGATCATCGTATCAAAGTAGTTGTTGAGAAATGAAGTTAAAGAACGTAGGGGTTGTTATGCAAATAATCCTTGTGGAAGAAAAGTCTTGTTTAGTAAAACTGGTCTAATCCAAATTTATTCTAAACTGCTTTGTTTTGTAATTTCAACCGCTCTAAGCAGGACTTCTCTCTGTTTTATACAGCGTCCTGAATAAAGGACGCATAGCCCAAAAGGGTCAGAGGTAATATTAAATGTTTATAAGAATTACTCTCTCAAGGGAGTCAGATCCAAAGTTTTCACGTGTGCTATCCTTCTTTTTTGTGTTTCATATGCTAAAATGTGGTGCACCTCACAAAAATTATCACAGAGAGTATCTTGATTACTGGTAAATACAATACAAGCCTCTTAAAATTTTAACTTGCTGTTTTTCAACATCCGGAAATCTAGATATCAAATAATCACTGGTATGTTTGGTCTGTATGTTTTGTTTTGGGGTACCAAACTTTCTTATTTTGGCTGTGTTCTCTGTGAAGCAAAATTTTCATTCAGTTTTTGATGTTGCAACAAGTTGCCTTAAAGTTGAAAGGATCAGAAATCCTTCTTGTTGGCTTTCCAAACTAAATTAAGGGCTCCCTTACTTTTGTAACATCTGTAAGCTAAAGCAAGTGTGTGTACAAGCAATTCAGCTGCATTTCATGTCAGCCTTGCAAAAGCTTTTCTTGTATATGGTAAATACTTTTATTTGACATGCAAGTAAAATGTTGCAGAGTTTTTCACCAAAATTATGACACAGCACAAACAAAGAAACTACGGCTGAGTCATTAAACTTGCTATATGCTTTTGCAAGGCTGCGCTGTATGTGTGCATGCATTTTACGTGTTCTAGGGTCAAACTCTACTTTCAAGTGTATTTTGGAAAGTTCCCTTGACAGCTGTGTGGGGAAGACCTCCTGTATACCACAGAGGGTAGAATTTGGCCCTCTGTTTGTGCTAAGGAACTGTAACTCTTGTCATTTCGTTATATAAGCTGCAGAGGTAGAAATAACTATGATATGGGGTTGAATGAAGGATGAAGATGGTGCACAAGAGGATGTGATTTGAGCATCCTTCCTGACTTGAAATGCTGATGCTTACAAGCTATATTCCCAAGAATTTTATGCTGCAAATTAGTTGCAATGAAGGACAGTATAAAACTGCATCCTATTTTAATGCCTGGCTAGTAAAAAAATGAGCAACGTCGTCAGACTGCCCTATGCAGTCTGCATCTTATGTGTCTGGCAATAATACATATAGTGAATAAGGATAAATATCTTGGAACAATGAAAAGATTTAATCAGTAAGCATGTTTTTAAGCTGGAATTATTGTGTGTTTTTCCTCAAGGGAGAACTTTGTAAAGCCAGTAAAGAAAATTACCGTCCGGTACTTCCAGGTTTTGTTACTGATTCTGACCCTGTATCCACACTGATGTGGCAAGTAACATGGAATCAATCAAACTATGGTCACGTCGTTCTGAAATGAATGAGGTATTGCCTTTGCTTTGGAGTATGGCAGAAGGCCAACACACACAGGGTATGCAGGTCTTGCGTAACTGGTTGTAGGGTTACAGCCTTGTGAAGTTGCAAGTTGCCCTAAGGTCAGTTAAACTGTCTGTGGAAGACTTACCTGTGTATCGTTCTTCCTGTTGCGTAGAACGAGACTCCCAGGCTACTTTAAGTGCAAGTATAATTTCCCAGGCACCTCTTAGAAACGTCTTTTGCATCTTTATTAATATGCAGAAAATGCAGAAGTAGCGCAAGAGGGAATCAGCATCTACCTTCACATTTTTCTCCGTTTAAGATATAGGGAAAGATGAGAGTGTGTCATGCTGTTTTGTGCCATTAAAAAATGGTTCTTGGGAACATCACTTGTATTTAAAACTTGATAAATTTTTTTGAATTCTGCCTTTCTTCAGACTTATATATCCCACAGCCCCATCATTATGCTGCAGCAATCTTGAGACCTTTCTTGTAAGGAAGCTTTGCTGAGCCATTCCACTTCTCCTCTTGTTTTTCTCCTTCCTTGTGTGATTCCTGCTGTCTTTTCTATCATCTAGTTCCTTTTTCTGCTGTCTTGTGTTCGTTCATTCTTTTTCTTCTTCTTTTTTTTCTTTTTTCTTTTTTCTTTTTTCTTTTTTTCTTTTTTTCTTTTTTTCTTTTTTTTCTTTTTTTTTCTTTTTTTTTTTTGTCTCCCCAAGCTATCTCCTGGTTCCTCGTTCCCTGCATGCCACTAACTAGTTTCATTAGATATTAATTGATTTGTGAATTCAGGCTGAATTGCATCATCAGCAGATGGCGGATCCAGACCTGTTGGAGGAATCCTCTTCACTCCTGGAACCAAGCGAGATGGGAAGAGGTGCCCCACTACGACTTGGGTAATGGCAATTTCTGCTTTCTTTTGTCTGGCTTTAGGATTGTTGGCTTATGCTCAGCCTGTGGAATCTACAACCATTTGAGCGCAGTTGTAGAACTTTCCAGACTGGCACATCAAGCAGATGAAGGCTGATCTAAAACCAGTTGCTGGTCTCTGTTGTTGTCCTATGTACATTAACTTCCCAGTTCATATTTGTGCTTCACACATTTCTGTCTGCACAAAAAATTATACTAGTTCGTTCCTTGTAAATCTGTTCTGGTTGCTTTTTCAGACATTCTGAGCTCTCACAGCGTTGTGGAAACTAGTAACTACTGTGGGCACATAATTGTCTGAAAAAACTGTATAGTTCTATATCCTTTTTATTAGCTGCTTCCCAACTGTCTTTGTGCGTGTGTAATTTTTTATCTGGACATAGGGGTTTGAACTAGTGAGGTCTTCCGAAGCACATGCCTAGAACATAGTCAATGGTAGCCTTGACTGCTATAATCCTTGCCATGTAATGTGCCAGGAACCTATTGAAATGAAGACTAGCAGGCATAGAAACTGTATGTCTGAATGCATTTGTTTCTCCTTTGACCAGTGATTTATTTTTTTTTTAATAGACGATTTCATTCTGTTAAAAGGCATAGCTTGTGCTATAGTGCAGTTGTTTTTGTTGTGTTTTTATCTCTATGTATTTAAAAGACCTTCCATTTTGCTTAAAGAACTAATTTTAAAACAAGATTTTTCTAGCTTTCAATCTAATGCTAAACTCCAGTTGCCATCAGTGTTTTGGGTGTTAGACTATGTATTCTTTTTGGTGCAGAACTTACATTTATGCTGCTCCCTTTACAGTTTTGTGGCTGGTGTGATCAACCGTGAGCGGATCCCCATGTTTGAGCGCATGCTATGGCGAGTGTGCCGAGGGAATGTATTCCTGCGTCAAGCAGAAATTGAAAACCCCCTGGAGGATCCTGTAACGGTAAAAGGACCTATTGTTTACAGCAGCAAAAGCCTCAGATGTGTAAAAGGATCTAAGATCTATAGATCCAAGCCTCTATCCCTCAATGAGCTCCATGCAGGCAAACGTTTGTTTTGCGTCCCTTCACAGTACCTACTTGCAGCTTCTGAGGCTTTAGTGATAAATGTTTTCCTGTTTTATTAAAACAAAAATAGCAGGATGGATGGTGAATGCTGTTGAAAGGGGGAAAAAACAACTCAAAATTTGGACTGCAGCAGGTCATAGTTGCTTCTCTGGAACAAACTACAAATGCAACTCCTGCATGCAGTTCTGAATAAGTAGTAATCCTCCTTGAAAGAGGCTCTTTTGGACATTAGCAGTGTGTAACATCTGTAGCTCGTTTACTCTGAACTTGGACCTTTTGTTTTTTCTTATTTGCTAATCAATAATTTAAACATCCACCTGAAAATTGTTGGCTTTATTACAGATATAAATAGTACATGTTGTAGTTGAGCCTGGTTTTACATTCAGTGTCCTCTTTGCTCAAATCAAGGGACAGTGCTCAAACTTCAGGAACTCTTGCTCTTAACCAGTAAAAAGAACGGCTGTATGTAGGCTGCCCTGGAACAAAGACAGAAGAGTTGAAACTCAGTAACTGCATCTTTGTTTCTCGTGTAAGGCTGACTTGTTCTCTTGTCCCACCGACTGCTGGTAGTTGACCTGCTGAATTATCTGTCTACTAGGAGAGACTTTGTTCTTATTGTGCAACACTTCCTTAAATTGAGGTTACACCTAATGTAATTATTCTTGAAACATTATGTTAAAATTTCCTAAGTAAGGTAGAACAATAACTTGTCAACAAATGCAGGAAAGGGGACCTGGCTACCAACATGAAAACAGCTGTACAAAGAATGTGCCCTTGGCTTCCCTGGAGAATCAGTTGTTAAAACTCTGCTTCATCTTATTTTCATTCACTCTTTAGCTTTGTGCTTGCTTCTGTAGGTGAGCTGACTGCAGTAAGGGCTGAGAAATATTTCATTGCATCTCTGTTCTTTTGGAGATCTTCCCAGGCTTTCCTGTTTATTGTATTACATAGAACAGATAATCTAGAATGTTTTGCTTCAGTAAACACAAGTGCGGTAGGGGTGTTCTATACTGAGGCTAAGAAAATTGCTTTCCTTGTGACTGTTTCAGTGTTGTTAAGCTACATTCTTGACGCACTGCAGATATAAATTCCGTATGTACAGATTCAGAGGAAGGAAAAGTAGAACTCTGTTGTAATTTGCTATAACGCTAATTTCTGTAAATAGCTGAGCTATTACAGTGCACTCTTTTTTCTGTTCTAGGGGGATTATGTGCACAAGTCTGTGTTTATCATCTTTTTCCAAGGCGACCAGCTGAAGAACAGAGTCAAGAAGATATGTGAAGGGTATGAAAGTCTTACAGCTGGGCAGCTCTCTCAAATATTTGAAACACATTGGCATGACTTAATATTGATACTTTTCAACTCCTAATTTCACAGTGACTGTAGGAGTACATATTTTGACAGCAAATAAAATGTACCAAAAGTAGCTGAAACATATTTTACAGTCAAACTAGCCGCTCCCCAAGCCTGTAATGGTCAAAGTAGGTGACTGCTTTGCTAGAGAATGCCTAAAAACAAAGGGAGTTCAAGTGTTGAACTCTCAGACAGGTCTAGTTGGGATGTCAGCGGGCTATATTCTCACAGGGGAGATCAACAGTGACTACTGCTAGCAGCTGCATTGGTGTGATAGCAGCACCCTGAACTGGGATGGCTAATCAACTTTGGGACAGTACCTTTGAGACACTGCCAGTACAGGGAACAAAGGATTTTCTCCCACTTCCATTTTCTTAAGCATTCAGCTTCTGGTTTGGCCTGAAGCAAACTTCTGCACCCACTTGATTTAAAGACTGAAACTCTGCTTGGCAGTCTTTGCTGATCAGAAACTTCTCTTAAGGTGCTTCTTGCTTTATTTGTGTGTTCAGGCTCAGCCATCTATTTCCCTGACTGATTTATCTTCTTTCTGTCTTTGTTACTAAGGTGGCTTGCATGTCTTTCAGATTCCGTGCCTCCCTCTACCCATGCCCAGAAACACCACAGGAGCGGAAAGAAATGGCTTCTGGTGTCAATACCAGAATTGATGATCTTCAGATGGTAAAATAACTGGGGTCAATGCCCCTTTCTCTTTTTTCTTTAATAATATAGTTGAAAACTTCTTTGGATCCTATTAAAACAGGAGAATTTTTGGCCCTATTAGATGACCGTATTTTCACCTCCAAGTAGCTTGAGAGCAGCAGCTCAGCAGTGCAAGAAAGATGTTTGGAGACTGTCTACTCAGTTGTTTTCTTTGTTGGGGTTTAGGATGGTGGGGTGGTTTGCTTTCTGGAGGGCTGAGCAGTTAATTATATACATGTAAGTGCAGCATCGACAGAGAACTGCATACCAGGGAGCAGAGAGGAATATGCATGTGTAAGGAGATAGCATGTTTTCCAACTCTGAAAGCATGCTTGTGTAATTGCCTGTTTCATCTGCAAGAACTTTGAAAATATTTAAACTTATTTCCAAGTTGAGATAACAATGCCAACCTTAACTTAGCTGTTCCTTTTTCCGCCTGTCTTCATATTTTCACATTGTGCTGTCCTGAAGAGCTTCTGCTTTACAACTAATCTCTTGTGCAGCACCCTGAGTGTGGTAAAAAGTAATCAGCACACAAATCTACTGGGTGCCAGCTCTGAAATACTTGATGCTTGCTTCAAGGAAGAAAGGCAGTATCTTATAATGCAGAAAAATTGAAGGGATTTGAGACAAAAAGAAAGAAAAGGTTCAGAAACTAAAAGGAAAAACAGTTGAATTTGGACTGCTTATTTGATACAGAAACTGTCTCAAGCTGGGAGTTGTGTAGTGCAGCTGTTTACCAATTTTAAAGTAGACAAGAACTCAGAAGCAATTTAACTAGTAGGATTCAAAGCCATATGTGCCCTGTGTCCTCACTTTTCCTTGAGTCTAAGACTTTCCAGCCTGGAAATCTGACTTGGCCCGAGTTAGATATGTTCCAATTGGAAAACACCCTCAGTAGAAAACACTTTCTCCTTTTCCCTTCAGTAAAAAAGTCTTTCACTGTAATCTTTGTGTGTTTTCTTAAGGCAACGTCCACCTCACATGTAGAATTCTTCTCTGCTCTTTTAACCTGGGTGGAGGAAAAAATGTTCTGTGTGGTCTCTGAACAGTTCTTTGTTTGAAATACCCGCTGACCTTGGAGTTGGAGGAGGAAAATAGTCAAAAAGTATCCCTGGAAAGAAGCCTTACAACCTTTTAGCTGCACTAATTAATATGGAAACTAAAACATATATTGCAGGCTTGTTGCAATCTTGTGCATGGGATGGGGGAAAGGGCTTATCCATCCGTCCTCTGGTGGGTAAGGCATGTGTTGTTGGTCAGCCCAATTTCACACTGCACTTCTGTATGCTTTTGAGTTTTGGTCAATGATTTTGCCTTATCTTTATCCTACTTCTCTATGAAAGGTGCTGAACCAAACAGAGGATCATCGCCAAAGGGTTTTGCAGGCAGCCGCTAAAAATATCCGTGTCTGGTTCATCAAAGTACGCAAGATGAAGGCTATCTACCATACCCTGAATTTGTGCAATATCGATGTGACACAGAAGTGCTTGATTGCTGAAGTCTGGTGTCCTGTTGCCGACCTCGATTCTATCCAGTTTGCTCTCAGGAGAGGCACTGTGAGTAACTGCTGTACTGCTCCTGTCTGCTGCTGTTCAAGCAGACTATCAACTGTCAGCAAACACAGCATGGATTAATTGATTTTTCCGAATTGTGAGTCTCTGAAAACAATCCCTTAGGGCTGTTTGAATCAGTCCTCACAGAGGACCGTTTATTTAACATCCAGGAGTCATGGCTCATAGATAAACTTTGTAACAAATATGTTGTGTAAAGCTTTAAGTTCAGGAAAATGCTGTAATAGTAAGGCATTTTCCTGTGTTTGAGTCCTTTGATACATTTAGTTAACCTGGCTGTGCTTTGTAGTCCTGCTGTTTAGATACATAGTGGAACTTACTGAAAGGAGCTATCCAGGACATTAGCAAGCTTGCCCTCTGCTCAGAGTTAGATAATAGAGTTGGGTGTCTTGATGTCATTTCATTTACTGTTTTAAAAAAACAGAATCTTGCATGAGTTTTCTTGTCTGTCCTAATCAGACAATGTTCATCCTTACTACAAGTGCTTCTCTTCCTGCCATACAAAGTGGAGAGTGGTGGAAACTTGGCAACCTTCCTCAGCTGTTCAAGTATATTTCTCATCATGCAAGCACAGGACAAAAATGCAGCCTTGTAGTTTTCCAAATGCTAATGAGAAAGTAGTGTTTTACTCTGTCCTCCAGTGCTCTGAGGACAAGTTTTCTAATTTTTTTTTTTTAAACAGGAGCACAGCGGATCCACTGTCCCATCTATTTTAAACAGGATGCAAACCAATCAGACCCCACCAACATACAACAAAACTAACAAGTTTACTTCTGGCTTTCAAAACATTGTTGATGCTTATGGCATTGGAACATATCGGGAAATAAATCCAGGTAAACTCATACTTATAAAAGTCCAAGACATCTATCTCAATTTTTTAGTTATGGTGTTTCTCTGTATTGTCTGTCCTATGTGAAAATTTCTGATAGAGTACTTAATACCTTTCAGAAGCAGAGGGGAAGCTGGGAATTATATTGCTAAATTGCATAAATTGTACTGTAGTAAATCTGGGCTTACTCAAATACAGTGCACTAGGGGTGTCATCTTTTCTCTTACAGCACCCTATACGATCATTACCTTCCCGTTTTTGTTTGCTGTGATGTTTGGAGATTTTGGCCATGGAATACTGATGACTCTGATTGCTGTCTGGATGGTGCTTAGGGAAAGTCGTATTCTGTCACAGAAGAGTGACAATGAGGTAAAATGGCAGGTCATGCTGAGCTTTGCATTTCAAACAAAGGTAAACCAAGCTGCAACTCTGACATCCTTCCCCCTTGAGTTGGCAATCTCCATTACTCCTTACATTTGAAATTTGTGAAGCACACAGACAGACTGGGAAGCCTGTAGACCACAGACCGAGTAGCATAATTCATAATAGTAGTGAGTTCCGTTGGTTTTCCTTTCAGATGTTTATAGGAAATTATTCTTTTCATTTGTTTGAAGGAAATGGTCTAGCAAATGTAGCAGATAAACTGTTGTAAATAAATCGCCCAAAACTTGGTTGGATCATGAAGGGGTTCAGTCACTGCAAAACTCTAACTTCTGTACATGTATATCGTATCTCCAAGATTCTTCTTATTTGCTGATCTAGATGGGTTTTGCTTGCTCGGGGCTTAGATTGGCAGGAGGTGAACCAGAGTTAAGATATGTTGACAGAGCACGGAGAAAGCTGAACAGGGTCTGCACTGCCTAGTTCCAAACTAATGCTGCCAGCTGGGGGTTTGCATCAGTGTGTGGAGTGCAATTTATCCTCTTCAGCTAATCCCAGATTCTCTGTGGACAGTCACACTGCCTGTTTATCCTCTGTATCCAGATTCTGTTCTGCAGTGCTACCTCTTGCACCCTCAATCCCTGACATGGGGAAGTAGAGACTTTGGGCTTTTAGTCTGTATGGCTGATACTGTTCTGCAACTGACTGATCTTACTGTCTCATCTTTATGAGAGACCTTCCTTGTTCTCATTGACTTTCTTTGTTCCTTTTTGGGTTTTTTTTTATACTAGATGTTCAACATGGTTTTTAGTGGTCGATACATCATACTGCTGATGGGACTGTTCTCCACTTACACAGGCCTCATCTACAATGACTGCTTCTCCAAGTCTCTTAATATGTTCGGTTCATCATGGAGCGTGCGGCCGATGTTCTCAAAAGGCAATTGGTCGTGAGTAAATAGTTGGTAACTAAAGAGTGACAGTGATAAGCAGGTGACTTATCCTTCCCCATTGTCCTCCTAGCTCAGGAAGACAAAAACTTCTGAACTCACTCTCAAGTAGAATTGGAAGAGGGATGTAAATGTGATATCTATCAAGTTTCAAACCAGCTTCCCCCCCCACCCCGAAAACTTATAAAGATGCAGTTTAGCACCTTTCTCCTCATAGACATAGTAAGACTCCTGTCCCCTGCATCTTTCTTCCTTGTGACACTGAGTAACAGATCAAGAAACAGGTTTATTTTTCATTCGGGAAAACCTCTAGGACCACACAGGAATCTTAAAGTTCTTTCAATTTTAGATATTCCTTGCTCTCACAAGGGAATAACGTTGTTAGTTTTTACAGAAAGAGGACAGTGTTGCTTGTGTTAATGTTTGTATACTCTACTTATACCCAAACAGAGATGCCTTGCTAGAGAATACTCCTCTGCTTCAGCTGAACCCTGCTATTCCAGGGGTGTTTGGTGGTCCTTATCCCTTTGGCATTGACCCGGTAAGAGCTTTTCCTTTGCTGTCCTTTAAGAACATCCTCTGTGTCAACTGAAAGAAAAGCGCCTGTCCAGTTCACTGTGAAAGATTTCCCTAGCCCAGCCATTCCCTTGGCAAACTCTTTATCAATGTTGGAAATACTCCTGAACGATAAAATTAATTCAGTTCCTACTGAGACGCTAGGTTCAGGACAGAGAGACTTGTTCTCGGGTCCATTAAAGGCTTCTTTCTCACCCTTTCTGACCTGCAGCATTTTAATCAAATCTGGTTAGACTTCCAAATCACTTTATGAAGTTACTTTTTTACCTCTGAGAAAAGTTATTTGTCTCTTTTTTTCATTCTGTCTTGGAAATGTAAGTTTCCAAGTAATCCTGTCATTTTGTATCTGCCTACATCAATAACACTGCTCCTAACACTGCTTAAAATATTTGATACAAACTTACATGTGTTCCACCATAAAGAGGAAGTGCATAAAAACAGAACTATGTATAATTGTTCATTTAAATGGATAATCTTTTTTTTTTTTCTGTCAAGGATCCAGCCCCCTTTTTCCTGCAACTTTTGCCTACCATAAAAACAAGCAAGGCTTGATTCCTTCTCTGATGGTGGGATCTGTTGCTGTAAGATGGTGTTCCTAGCAGAAACGGTTGCCTGCTCATTTTCCCAAAAGATATCCATGTGACAAACAAACACATCTTTAAAAAAACCCTGCTCTTGCAGCCTAATACTTCCTGGATGGTTAAGACCATTTAGCTTAAAGTGAACATTTTCATTCTCCTCTGTTTTTCTTTTACTCAGTGTTTGGCTGACTCAGTGTTGTTTTTTTCACAGATTTGGAATATTGCCAGCAATAAGCTGGCCTTCCTCAATTCGTTTAAGATGAAAATGTCTGTGATTCTTGGCATTATCCACATGCTCTTTGGTGTCACATTGAGTCTTCTCAACCATATGTAAGTACTTTGCTCTGTTTTTCTCATGGCAGGGGGGGGACTTCTTTGGGTGTAATGTGTGTATCAGTTTAAGATGCAGGAGCCTGTCAGACTTTAACCTTCTGATTGAAGGGTGCAATACAGTTGTTTCTGTCAGCGTATGTAGAACTATGCATGTCAAGTAGTTACTGTGTTTAAGTCCCAGCTATTGCTGAAATGCTGAGCCCCTGCAATTTTGTTCCAAAGACACTCTTCACATTCTCATTAAAAGTTTTTGCCCTACATATGCCTAATGCTAACCAAATGTAATATTAAACTCTCCTTTTTTTTTTCCTCTAGCTATTTTAAGAAGCCACTGAACATATACCTTGGATTTATTCCAGAAATTATTTTCATGTCATCACTGTTTGGATACCTTGTTATTCTCATTTTCTACAAATGGACAGCCTATGATGCTCACACATCAAAGGATGCACCAAGCCTTTTAATACATTTTATCAATATGTTTCTGTTCTCCTATAGTGATACCAGTAATAAGATGCTATATAAAGGGCAGGTATGTGTTCTTGCTAGAATAAGATTAGAGATGCTTGATGATATTAGAGTCTTTCATTGACATTATAATAATTGTGAAATCAAGTGTGAAACGTGTTTTCTCTGTGATAGAGGAAATGTGGCATCGTTTCCAAAGCCTGACACTATGTAATGTTAAAGAAGGAAGGAATAATCCCTATACCAGGGATTTATATCAGTCTGAACATAAGTCGGCTGTGGCTCCAGAACATTTGGATCCAGATTAATAGTGGAAAGTGATTAGGAATATTGTCCTGCATCTGCAATGAGGTGCCTCTAAGCTTAGCTAAGACACTAATGCCATTTCCTCCCAGCACTATCAGACATCTGCCAAATTCTCATTCCCCATAGAATCTTCTGGATTTTTCCCTAATCTAAACCAGTATCAGCATTACATGCTGATGGGGCAGCTGCAAGCAGGCATTAAGTACAGCACATCTTGCTGTTCCAGGAAGAGAGAGAGAGTGAAGCGTCCGTGTACTCTGGGAATTCAGTCATTCAGTGTTGCATAAGACTACTTGCTAGGTTTTGTGTGTTTGAGCATGGACTGCCACTAAGTCATCTGAGACTTGTTTCTTTTACAGCAAGGGCTCCAATGTTTCCTTGTGGTGGTGGCGTTACTGTGTGTGCCATGGATGCTGGTAGCTAAACCCTTGGTCCTTCGCCATCAGTATTTAAGGAGAAAGCACTTGGTGGGTGACTACCTCTTATATTTTCAATGTGAAAACTAATTATGGTTGAAAAGCTATGTTCTCCATCTTGATCTTGGATGCATAGGTTCACACTGCATTGTGACCTGTAAAACGTTTTTGCATGTTCCTAGGCATAAAAGCAGGTGGGTTTTACTGGAGACAAAGCATTGCCTGCCTGCTTCTCAGATCTGGATCCAGCATCAAACCTGCTTTTAAAAATGCTTTATGTTGATAATGATAAAAACAATGTATCTGGCTTGGGCTTTGTCAACTGGTTTAGGAACACTGTCTTACTGGTTGCTGGATGCACTTCTGTGCCTTTGCTAGGCTGACAATGTAAAAGCAAAGATGTAAGCTTAATTGGCTGGCAGATTTATCAGCTGTCTTTGTTAAAGCAGTTTGGAGGTTAAAAAGTAACAATTAAAAGGAAAAAAATACACTTACGCGGTCATTAAGCGAGAGGTTGTCTTCTGGGGTACTCTCTAGGTTTCCAACTGTACTGTAAAGTATCTTTATACAAAATGCAGGAACCTGGCACACGTGCACTGAGGATACTTGAAAATTCTCCCTGCATGTATGGCAGACAGGTTTTAGGATGTTAAGTGAGTCAAAGATCAGTTCAGTTAAAGACACTCCCTCTCCCTTCTCTGACCATCTTTCATCCTCCCATGTCCCCTCCATTCATCCCCCTTTCTCTTTTGTTTTCTTCTTCCTCCCTTTCTTTTCTTCCATTCACTATCAGGAAGGGCAACCCGCGGAGGCCCAAGTCAGCACAGTCCCGAACGAGCAGGCACTAGAGGCAGCAGCGGCTGCAACAGTGAGTGGATTTAAAAATCACCTGATGGATTTAAAGATGGGAGTTGGCTTTCTATCTAATTATCGAGAGAGCATGGAATGTATCTGAATTTCATAAGTGAATGACAACTGCACCTTTAGGGTGAAAAACACTTTCTCTTGGAAAGAGCAAAGTTCAGCAAAATTGATAGATTCTGGAAGAACTACCAGGCTGAAGGATAATAGTTATGTGTGCTGAATGCAGAGACACTTCTTTGCAGGAGTGCTGCTGAAATCAAAACCTGCAGAGCAGCACAGGAATACCTTGCTACCACATCCCCCCAGGTTAAGTTCCCCTTTTTTCCTTTTCTTGCATATTTGTTTAAGGTAGATTAGGATTCTTCTCAGTGAAGCATTTCTGTTTGCATTATGTGTTCCCGAACATCATGTATATGTGATGGCCTCCCAACAACTTCATATCAGTAATTACTGGATTTTTGACACCTGTGCCCTTGTAGACACTTTGCCTTGAAACTCTTATAAAATGGTTGTGCACAAATAAGCCTCTCAGCAGCAGTTGTTTCTACTTATTTGTGTCTAAACCTATAGACAGCCCTTTACTGCCAAAGCTTTCTGGCGAAGATTGCAGCAGCTCCCAGAACTTGGTCCCTTCCCCAGTATTGCATATTTCAACTTGGTTTTAGTTGTGAATGCTGCCTGTCTAACTAGGAAGCGTAAATCTCGCGAACTGTGTAAAGCACGTTGTACACTCCACATGTCGAAGGTACTCTGAGGCACTTTTTAGCTGTTCGCCAGTGTTTCTATCATGTCATTTTAAATAGCCTCATGGAAATGTCAGAAATTAAAATGGATCTTTTGTGCATAATCCATCCAGCTTATTAAGTGCATCTCAATACAAGAAGCAGCAAGGGAAGGTCTTTGTATGAGGTGTGGTTAGAAGTATAAAGTAAATGATTAGAGCTTTTGGAGCCATGTTTAGTTTGGATAGTTTACAGAGGATGGATCCAAGTTGAGTGCAAGGGAAAAGCTGTGAAAGTACAAATTCACACAGGCTAGAAATACATAAATAGAATACTGATACTAGTCATCAGTAACTTGTAATGTTTCAAAGATGCTGAAAATCCTAATAAAAGCATTGTCTTACTTATAAATTTATTATAATTTTTTTTCCATTTTATTTCTATTTTCCAAGCATAAATGTCTACCTAATTTGTTTTTAGAAACCTGACAAGATCTTTAATTCACATCTGGCATTTTGGGCAAATTTATAGTTCAGCCTAAAATAAAAGTAGGCTTCTAAGAACAAATCAGTTAAAAGAACATCAAGCAGCCGTTCTGCTGGTATGCCAGAGCGATACACTGTGAAAGCAGACAGGTCATGGAATCTTAAACCTCCTTTGTTTGCATAGTCATCCCTCAACTTCTGAAGTCTTCATGTGCCAAGTTAGCCTATTCACATTCCATGTCACAGATGCCCCCAGTACAGTGCTAAAGCTGAATGCAGGGCTTTTCTTTCCATTTGTGGCATTTCAGTTTGCCTCTCTAGGTGGGTCAGATTCACACGTCTTAATTTGTAGTCCCTCAGATCAGTCATGAGCATTTTCTGTCTTTGGAATATCTGGAGGGAGATAGAAATCCTGCTGTACAGTGCACAGTGCTGCTTGCTGAACAGAAATCCAAAGATAGTGATGTGCTCGTTAAGCCTTCTTTGTCCAATATGCATTTATGATGCATAAAAGCTCTGCTTGAGGGCACTATCAGATGATCAACAGGTTTGTTCATCCTTTCTCGGTGGTAAGATGGTATGGAGGAGGAAGCCTGCTGTAAATCAGATGTTAACTGTGCAATGATTACAGTTGTCAAGTGAGAAGAGCTGATTCTTTCAAAGTTCCAACTCAGTTTGTGGATTATTCATTTCTGTTTGGAGTGCAATGGAGTTGTGGCTGAGAGTCAGATGTTGAATGTCAGAATAAATGTCTATAAAAGGGACTGTTTGCACAACGTAGAATTTCCAAGTAAGGGAAAGTCTGATCTCCCATGTGTGGTGTTAGTATGCCTAACACTGGTGGGAAGCAAGTGTGCATATGTGTATTTGTGTCAGTCTATTCTGCTTTGAGTTGCCACTATGTGACTTGTTTCACTTACAACAGCAGTGGTGTTTCAGTGCTTGTTCAACAGCTGCTGGGCAAAACGTTGGTCTGTTGCACGTCAGTGCCAGCAAATGTCCTCTTGAGAGATGTCCCTTTTATTTTGCTTAGGCTTGCAATTACTTTGTAGAAATGTATCAAGTATTCATTCAGACAGACTTTTTTTCTCCAGCCCTAGCAGGAATCAGCATCTTTCCCATCCAAGCTGGGAAGTAGAATTGTACAGCTGGCTTAACCTGGGTCTTAATACTTTGTTTTCTTCTGTGAGCTGCTGCTGCACACGGACTCATAAGAAACATGCACTCTTGCAGTAAAACACAAACAACACTTTGCTCTTTCTTTTTCTGCATGTGTTAGGGAACGCACAACTTTGGTGGGATCCGGGTGGGCAATGGACCAACTGAGGAGGATGCTGAGATCATTCAACATGACCAGCTATCTACCCATTCCGAGGAGGGGGAAGAGGTAAGCAGCACCTGACCATCCTCCCTCTCATGGCAATGTACTTGGTAGCAGAAAGTGCTAGCGTTTTGACTGTATTTGCTGATTTCCAAGCTGTTTAAATACCAACATTTTCAGTGAAGTGTTTTCATAGCAGTTTTCATACAGACTATCTCTTTGCCATTCCCAGGACTCCAGAAAAAGCAGTATAATTTGCATATAAAGGGAAATGTGGCTCTGTTTGTCCCCATCACAAAGAACCATTATCTTAGAGGCTACACAGTGAGAGCTGCACAGCACTCCCAGATGGCGTACACAGCTTACACTCCGGCTGAAGTGCAGGGCATTTGTGCTACTTGCTTCTCCAGTGTCAGCAAAAATCCAGGGGCTGTATTTCTGCAGCAGTGAAATCTTGTTTCTATATTCATTTTGACTGTTGGGGGTAATATTAATTGCTTTGCCTTACCTGGTAGAGAAGAAAAAGGAGTCAATCTTGCATAGTTTGAGAGTATTCTGATGCCTCTTAACAATTCTTCAGTGGTATCTTGCCTCTATAGTGCATGTAATGTGCTACCACTTTACTGTGTCATGTTTAGGAGGGAATTATTAAATGTGTTCGTGATTAATGTGATTGAGACACCGCACTAAATGTAAACTTATGTTTTCAAGCCTACAGAGGATGAGGTGGTAAGACTACAGCCAGCTTTGCATTCATGTGTATCTGGACCATTTCCCGTTGGTGTAAAACACATGCTGAAGTAAACATGTTATGTCACAACATCTTGTTTTCCAAAAGATCTAGCTATTTACATGTTACAGGCCATTTTTAATTCTTCATATGTACATGCCCATTAACAGACCTTTAATTACTTCATCTATACAGCTTGTTTGTCTTATCCCTTGTCTGCAGATCTTTCTTAGTTTACCTGGAAAGCTGTTAAAGCTAGAAGTCTGAAACTGAAAAGTTTTTGCTTTTAAACTTCTGAAGAAGTCTCGTTTGCCTCATGTTGTGTCTTTGGTAATTCTGCACTGCAACAAACTGTGTAAAAATTTTTTTTTTTTTTTTTTTTTCCCAAACTGTCTGCTATTTTAAGGATGACACTGGTTGTTGCCAGTCAGCAAATACAGCAAAACCAGTCCAGTTTCATACAGTCCAACAACTTAACTAACCAGTATCTTTCTGTAAAGGAGAAGCTCTGTTCTGAGAAACTGCTCATTCATAAACACTTGTAACAAGTATTAGTATTAAAGAAATGGGTTTTTAGGAATACTCATGCAGGATTGATTGTAGGTTTCAGCGCTATCAGGTAACCAATTTTATTACAAAAAAATATAAATGCCATGGAATTAGAGTAGCTTCACAACAGTGATGCTGTTGTAAATTGTGCTGAAAGTGATTTTGCTTAGAGATCTATTATGCATAGGCCCATCTGGAATTGAGGAGGGCACAGAAACAGTGTGCTGGTGTACCTGTTATTTCTATATATCACTAAACCTGTGAAAAATGTGTAAAACTACAAATACTGTGCCATAGCAATCCTGCTGATTCTCCCACTCCCTAGCATAGTGGTAACTCTCTCCAGCAGTTGCACATGGCTGTAAATTGTCATTGTTTAAGTATCACATTCCATTTACTGCACACTGACTTGTCATGTGTGCTGGGAGATGGTATGGTTCACTAGGCCAGGCTTTATTAAAGAACTTTGCAGTTCACATTCTGTGGAGAAAGAATTAGTCTTTTGACAGTTAATTTAACTTAATTGTTTGAAATATTTATTGCTCTGGATATACCAGGGGAGAAGTAAGAATATAAATAGCTTTCTGTGCATGCTTAGAGCATTAGTCACTTGATGTATTTAAAACATCATGTTCACTTAACTTAAATACGAGCAGTTTCTGAAGCATGGATTAAATCCAAAATGCAGGGAATGCATTCCCAAGCTGCAAAATAAGAAACTGTCCTACATGGCAGACTTCCTTATAAGTTCTTTTATTATTTTTGAAAATTACCAAGACACAGAGACTTTGCCAGTGAATGGTGCATAGATGTGACTTTTTCAAGATTGCTTTATGCATTATTTTTGCTTTCAAGGGCAAGTTCGTATCTTGCAAAATGCTCTTGTGTTGATCCTGTAGCAAAGGTACATACACAGTATTGACTTGGAATACTGTCTCCTTTTTTGTAGCGGTACATACAGTTTACTGGTGAATTCATATGAGTACCATCTTGTTGCTGAACAGTCTTTTCCTGGAAAAGTCCATGGCTGAATTTGAAATATCTTACTTTCATATGCTAGAATGTGAAAACAATAATATTCAAGCTGCAGCAGTGAACTATAATTCTACAAAACCTAGCAAGACAAGAGAATTCATTTTTCATTTATAAAACTGACATGCTAATCCAGGAGAAGACGGTATCAGTGTCTAAATTCAAACATAATATCCTTGGTAATAGCACCAGGTAGTGTGCTTGTTTTCCCCAGTTGGCCAACCCTTGCTGCTTGCAAGGCTCGCAGCTCTCTTCATTTTCTGTGTTCTCTTTCCAGTTTGACTTCGGTGATACTGTGGTGTACCAGGCTATCCACACCATTGAATATTGTCTGGGGTGCATTTCAAACACTGCATCCTACTTGAGGCTCTGGGCTCTCAGCTTAGCCCATGCACGTGAGTATTTCTTATGGAACTGAGATTTGGATCCATGTGTCTGATCACCCTGGGCAGGCAGTAGGTGAAAGGCAGGAATACAGGTAGCCTCTCAGAGCTCAACTGTCAAGCACTGCTGGAAAAGGACAGAGCTGTGTGTGCATTAGCTGGGAGTAATTAAGTCTAAACACCAGTGTCTACTTGCATAGCGTGCTGCTAAAAGGGAGGGATGGAGTTGAAAGCACTGAATAAAGCAAAGAGCTGCTGAGCAAGGACTCTGCCCTGCTCTGTGTGCAACAGTTGGAGACAATGTCCTGGCTTACTTGGCTGCAAAAGGTGTTCCTCTTAAGTTTCCTACCCCATTATAGTGGGAGTTTGCTTGGCTTTAGTTTTTGCTTTATCAGTAAACTGTAACAACCCTCCATTCTTGCTGAATGCTCTGAAATGAGCCCCCTTCTCCCCTTTCTCCTGGCAGAGCTCTCGGAGGTGCTCTGGACCATGGTGATCCACATTGGCCTCAGCGTGAGGAGTCTGGGTGGAGGCTTTGGCCTCTTCTTCATATTTGCTGCTTTTGCTACCCTGACAGTAGCAATTCTCCTGGTCATGGAGGGGCTGTCTGCTTTCCTCCATGCTCTTCGCTTGCACTGGTGAGTTACTGGAACATGCAGAAACTTCAAAGCTCTTCATAGCAAGAAAATTGATGTCACCTGGACTATGCAGAAATGCTATCTTCTAGAAAATTATATTGACCCTTACACAGGAAAGCTAAGGCTGTTAAAATTGGGGTAGCGGATACTATTGAGCCAGGATCAGCAATGTTCAGAAGTGCCAGAGTACCACAAATCTAGCTAAACATCTAAATGTCCTACAGCAGATGTGCTCTAACAGGAGAAAGTGTTTAAAAGGGTCAGATTTCAGTCTTGTTTCTAGTGATACACCACTCTCTCCTGACCCTATGCATACATGTTGCTTAGAAATTGTGGAGAGTGATCTCTGCTTAAAAATAAATTAGACTAAAGCTTTGTGAACAGTGGGATGGGAAGGTTGTGCTAGATGGATGAGTGTGCTTGTGGCTTTCAGTAGGATTTGCTTGTTCTGTCTTTTGGTCTTTTGCCTGGTTCTAATGTTTGTTTTCCTTAATGTGCAATAGCTACTGACTGCAGTTTCCTTCATGTGGTCTTGTTCATCTTCGTAAGACCGTGCATTAAACAGCGGCAGCTTTGCCCATCTGCCCTTTGGGGTGCTGTGGAATGGTAGCTATTTCTTGCTGTTCTTGCTTATTAGCAGATGCTTTTGTAGCCCCTTTCCTGTGATTATTAAGCTCCTGTGTATGCAGGCAGCCAGTAAACAAGAAGGAATTACTCACTAGAGTGCTCATCGCTTTCTCTGCACCGAAGTGTGGAAAGTATTCAAGAGCTTTCTCTAATCCGTATTTAAGAGTGCTCATTGTTCCACTTCAGATTCTGTGGTTAGTGCACTAGTGGGATCAAAGGAGCAATGTGGGAATGGGTTTTGCTTGCCTCAGGTTCTCTTCAGCCTAAAGTGTAGGAGAGTATGTCTGTGCCTCTGTAGAGTTCAGGTTGCTGCCATCTCTTAAGGTAGCTTGCTTCTTGCTAGGTCAGAAGACCAAAGTGAAGTCCCATGAAGTTCACGTGGAATATTCTGTCTTGCTTAAATGGGAAGAAAAGGTTATGAGCACTTTAAAAAAGTAGTTCTGTAAGTGAAAAGGAAGCCAGTGCCTTTTTTAAAAAAAAAAAAAAAAAAAAGGAAAGAAAGAAAATCGGCCTTCTTGCAGTTTTGCCCTGCTTCTGGGGAAGGAAAACTTTGTCCTTTTGCCCTGCATTGGCAGCCTGTGGGGGTGCGGGCTGGAGTGTCCTGGAGTGCATGGGTCTTTGTAGCTCAAGCAAGTCGAGCTTCACCCAGGGGCTCAGAGCTGTAGCCATCTTGTGCCGAGGGAGCCCGTGGGGGGGCAGCTGCTGAAAATGGCTGCTGGATGGTGCTTCTGTTTTTCCTGGCATCCAGCCTAGAAATCTTCATACCAGTCACTTGAGAACTTCTTGCTGACTGGCTGGTGTTTCTGCATCCTCATCCTGCTGTCACTGTACTACACCATTGCATCAGTGTGAAAGAAGGAGCTCTGCAAGACCTGCCTGGCATTATTGCTAGCAGTCCAAGAAGAGCAGAGAGTAAGCAGTACTCTAACTCTGTATGTGGTGGTTTCGATCTGCAATTGTTTGTGAATTAGTGGATTTTCAAAGTCTTGCTTCACTGGACTGCAGTGCTGCATGGCATGTTTCTGAACAATAGCAGATGAACAGTTCTGAACAGCTTTTCTTCTTGGCAGGCTCTGTGTTTTCTTTTTTACCCAAAGGGATGGGTTAAGATAAGAAAGCATGTTTTTCTGGAGACACCTGTCTTGTGTTAATAACCACAAACTGCACCTACAGATACCACTCACAGAGCACCTGGAACAAGTGTGAACTGGAGGCTGCAGTTCAGCCAAGAGGTGGCTTTTCACATTGCCAGGCTGTCTCTAAAGGGTGGTGAAAAAATTGTCTGGAAATGTGCCAAGGGAAGATGCATGTCACTGAAATGGCAAGCGAACAGAGAAACCCAGCTGGGCAATAGCAATAAGCACATGGATCACTGTCACCATGCAGACCAGTACAGAGCATTTGCTGGGAAGCTGCAGAACTGAAGCTCTTAATGAAGTCGTATTTTCCCTAAACATGTGTTTCAAACTTGTAAGACTTTAATACACATAATCTAAGAGAAAATCTGTTCAAGCTTAGAGCCTGAAAAGCAAGTTTAAGGCACTATTTCAGACTCCAAGTAATCTGCTGAAATTATTTTGGATTTGTTGGATTTTTTGTTATCACAGTGGAGAGGAAGGCACCTGCAGTTCTTCAAAAGAACATACTGTTAACATTCCTTTTTGCTTCTGAATGTGAAATCAGGATGTTTCCAATGGTAGGTGTTCCCTTTTTAGAAGTGGGGGGGAGGTGGGGGGTGTCAAATACAGCTGTCCTGGGAGGAGCAGATCAGATTTTCTGGCTGTGGGAGAAGAGTCACCTATCAGGAATTCTGAAGGTGTGGGTTGTTCAGCCTTCCCGGAAAGGAGGAGGAATTTAGCATGTGTCTTACTGGTGGGGGAAAAAAAGCACAGATTGTTCCATGTGCTCTGCCTGTCAGTCCCAAATGAGGAAGATTTGTTTTGTGCTTTTTCAGAAAGTATGCATTCTTTCAGCAGGCTGGGTTTTTCTGGCACATTCTGGGGTGGAGGAAGCACTCTTTGAGTGCTGCCAAGATGCAGGCATGTGTATCGGAGGTCTGCTGGAGCTCAGTAGCTGTCTGAGCTATACCCCCACATTGTGCTGTTAACTCCTTTTACTGTAACATCACTGTTCTGAAATACTTTACTTTTCTATTTGCTTTTCAGTAATGTAGTTTGACATGAATGTTTAGATTAAAGTAGCTTACCTTTTTTTAAGCTAGTCAGCTCTTCTAATATGAGCAAACATAGACTTCCCCCAAAAGGAGTAGTTCATAACTGAATTCAAAGTAGGGTCCCAACATCATGGGTTGATGCAGGAATACAGTTTCAGTGGAGGTGTCTTCCTGTGTAAAGCAGTATTTTAGGCTCAGTTTTAGGCCTGATTTGGAACCAGAAGCTATGTCCCTGGATTATGTCCCAAGACCAGGTCACAGCTAGAAAGAAAGGATAGCACTAGGCATAATACAGAGCAAATCAGATTAATTCAGATCAGTGAAGAGTGGGGTTTATTTTGCTGTGTAGGAGAGAGGTTGGTGTTAAATTAGCATCATGATGTAGGGGCTTCAGTTCCAGAGTTCAGAGCAGTCAAACCACGTTGTTCAAGCTTGGCTCTGGTTACCCAAGAGTCTCTCAGCCAGTCTCCCATCCCTCAGTCCATGTCCATCAGTGTGGAGAGCATGGGTCCTGGCGATTTGTGACTATAGGTTTGGCAAACACTGAGAACTGTGTCTGCTCTTGCTAAAGGTTTCAGTCTGTTCTCTCCGTCAGGTGTAGTAGCATCAGCAGCTTCCCTGGCAGGTGTGTGGACGTCACCATGGCCATACTTGAGACGGACACAAATGTGATTTTTCTTTATCATGAGTTGCCTGAGCTGTTTGCCACTGGTCCATAAACATCCCCAGAATGAGCTCAGACCCTTGGAGGCAGTGAAATGGATCTGAAGCAGGGCTCTCAGCCGTGCAGCATTAGAAGCTCACGTGATGTCTGTTTTGTTCTGAATGGCAAACTTGGAGGTCTGCGCAGGGACACCAAAATAGATTTCAAACACAACAAATGTGGTCAATCTCTGACAACTGTGTGGAATAAATAAAAATCGGCAATTATGTGGCACTTTGTGGACGGCTGTTCTCGGTTGTAAACTGAGAATGGACAGGCAGACCCTCCTCTGCCCAGGCAGAGCTCCTGGCCCGCTGCCACTCAAGGGGGAGTGCTGCTTTCTGAGAGGCATGGGCGTGCCAGAGTTGCATCCCGCTCGCAATCCAGCTCCCCACCCGTCCTGCCAGAATTTTATTTTTCTTTGTAAAGGTCATGAGCCAGAGCTTGTCTGTAGTGCGACCATAAAAGCACGCTACTGCTCTAAAAGGCAGTCTCCTGTAAGTGCAGGACAGAATGACCCACGGTGCCGCATATGAAACTGCTGTCCTTTTTGGGAAAAAGTAACTGCAACAACCTCTACACAAACGCCCCCATTGCTTTCTCACTGTAAGGCGTGCTGTAGGCTGCCCTCTTCAAGGTGCGCTCTGAATCACAGCTGACCCCAGGCATTGGCACACGCCTTTAAGAACACAAAGATCAAGCAGGAATTTGCACTTGTGCTAAACGAAAGTTAGGGTTCCTGTTCAACAACTGACTCTGCCGTTGCTTCTCATGGGACTGCAAGCTGCATAGTTTTCCATACAGTGTGGGTACTCTATGACTCGGGTTGGAAAATCCACATAACTACAGTCCAACAAACACTTGAGCTAATTATTAATACAACAAAGCTGAAGAGTGGGTTTTCTTTAATGCTGACTGCCAGAAAGCCTTCTAGTCTGTTTTACAGTGCAGTGCTAACTGTCTAGTGAATTCTTCTGCAGAACTTGATCACTGATGGGAGACATGCAGTGCAAAGTTTAGCAATAGAGCTGGTACATGACAGCCAGTGATCCTGAAGAACAGCAGTGTCTCATACTAAAAAAAGGACCTTGGATTCTGGATGTTCCTGTAGACAATTGCAGAAAAAAACACACAGAACATTTAAGCCATGATTGTTTGGTTAACTAAACTTTTTCACTAGTTCCCTAACCTTACAACAGCTTCTCCTCGAGCTTCAGGCATCCAGTTGTGGCCAGTTGTAACTGAGTGTGTCCAAAAGGAGCTTTCAGATGTCGGGGCCAGCTGGAACAGTTAATCATCAGGGTTAAAATTTCATTTACAGTGGGTTGGTTCTGTGTGACTCAGATACCCAACCCTCTGCTGCTTTATTTCACTTTGCTTACAGAATAGTTACTTAGTCACAGGATACTTATGGAGATTATCAGGGTTCCTGAAAAACTGGAGCATGTTGGCAAGGAGCCCTTCCTCCTACACAGAAAATCCTGCTCATCCTAGGGATTCCTCTGCAGGGAAGTCTGTGTATCTGCATGAACAGGCAGCAGAAGAGATGAGCAGAAAGCTGTTTTTCTGAATGTTTCCCTTCTGAGCTCTGTTGGGAAATCACTTTTTGCCAGCTGAAATACCAGCAGCTCTGAAGTTTACTGCAATTGCTGATTTAGAAGAAAATAATTCAAGTCTGCTTTTTTGTTCTTCATAAAAATACTTCTGAATTGTGTTAAATTGCTCTATGATTTGCTGTCACTTGATTCCTACAGAGACTTCGTTCTTTTAGTGGATCACGCAATGGAAAGTGTTTCTCATGAGGCTCATGAAACACTGTGCTTGTTTTTACTGTGAATCATGGGATTATTTTTTTCTTTCCCTATTTGGCTGTTGCTGACCATTGGGCAGTTCTCTAGAATAATTCTTTTTTTAAACTGAGTTTATTAGGGGAAGCAGGCAAACAAGTCTAAGTTAATGTTCAGCTGGAGACAACAGGCACATCTCTAGCTCAGCTGAAGTAGTCGTGGGTATAAACCAAATATGCTGAAGTAAATAAATAGAAGTAGCTGATGGAGAAAGTCTGAGTACAGCATCACGCGGTTGAGGTTTGTTCTAACTGAAATGTGAACTTTGGTAATGACATCTTATAGGAAATGCTCTGTGCTCCTAGGTGCTTCTAAGTGATACCACGGTTAGGGAGTTCATCCTATTTTTGTTGCCCTTTTATTGCCTTTGGGGGTGGGATCGAAGTACCTAGACAGTTCTCCTCTGCTGTGCTCCAGAAACATCAAACAAAAATGTGGGGTTTGTGCCAAAAGATACGCTACATAATACCACTTTTTCTCTTTAGAGTCAATAATCATACTTTTAATGGAGTTCTTGCTAACTCATATCTGAGAGCTGCCTTTTTAAATGAGCAATCACTCTTCCCTCTCTTGCAGGATTGAGTTCCAGAACAAGTTCTACACTGGCACTGGATTCAAGTTTCTCCCTTTCTCCTTTGATACCATCCGTGAGGGGAGGTTTGACGATTAAAGATCCCTCCGCTCAAGCAGTGTTAAACGTCGTGTGTTTATGGTTAGCCCTCTCCTGCGTGTCTGAGTTGCATGTAATTCTCCCATAGTGAAAATAAGTTATTGCAGCACCCTCGAGTGTTACTGTGGCGTTTCGAAGCCAAGAGCTTTGACATTCTTGGGTAATGAGTGACACTGGATCAAAGAAACTTTTCGTTCCTTAAGTTTACCACTGAAGATACCACGTGCATGAAGTGTCAGAGTTTGGTGTATAATAGTGTACTTCTTGTGTTGTGAATTCCCTGGCAGGCTTATCAGGGCAGCATGAGAGAAATGCAGCTATGGCTGAGTGGGCATACAAGCACATGGAGAAAAGGTCTAACAACTTCAGCTTGCACAAAGCTTGCTGCTCGGGAAGAGATTTTTTTAAAGAAAGTTTTACATGTGGATCCTACGTGTCTCTGCCTCTGATTAAACAAATTATGAGCAGTGGGCAGTTGACAATCCAGGGCATGTTTCTTCTACCTCTAGGGATTCCACATGTGCCACCTTTTAATCTGACAAAAACAATGTCTCATTCCGTGCAGGGATTCAGCTCTTTGAACTCTGGCTGGGGCTTGGGGAGTTGATATGAAGGGGTAGAACTCAGCCTCAGCTAAGTGTATGGTGGCTCTCAGTTTGCTCTAGCGATGGGGAAATACCTTGTCCTTGCAAGAGACCTTGTCTTCCCTGGAGAAGAGATGCTTCTTTAACTGCACCTGCACACTTGTATCCCAGGCAAAGCCCTATGTCTAGCAGCAAAGGCCCGTTCCACCTCTTGTTTCTGGAGGCAGTGGTGGGAACAGGGGGGTCAGGCGCAGCAGGCTCGGCTGCCTTGCTGTGGCCTGGGGTGAGATGGAGGAGGGACAAGGTGCAGTGCAAACTGTCATCTCAGGTATTGACCACTGGCAATGGAACTTCCTGCATTTCTTGTTTAAAGACGAAGCCCTCAGGCTGCAAAGCCCTAGAGGTGCATCCAGATAATGCCCGTGCAGACTTGGCATCGGTAGAGACAGCTTTTGCAAAGGTGGAGGTACTAGTGACATATGTTGTCATGTATGCTCGGGGTCTTGGGAGCCCTTTAAGGGAGAACTGAGGCCGAGTCTTGCCAAAATAGTCCCATGGCAGGGGAGTCTCAGTGGTGTTTCCCTGCACTAGCTGTTCGTTTTCTCCAGTACCAGGTGTGAATAATTTCTTGCCCTCCTCAACTTGATGTAGCTGTAGGAGCAGTGGGGTGTGGGTATGTGTTAGTGCTGTGTGTAACTGTCATGTTTAATTCTCATAGTGGATCTGAAGTATTTGTGTATGAACAGATTAGAACAATAATGAGAATCATTGTAACCTGGAATTGAGGAGGCAATGCCACACAGTGCAGGGCTGTTTAAAATTATGTGACAAAGGTGCGTGTGCACTGCACACTGTAACGGGTGTGTGCACGGAGCACAGGGATCCTTGTGCTGCGCGTGGGCAGCTTCTGGGTAATCGTGGTGTTTACAGGTATGCTCAGCTGTATGTTTACAATGGTGTTTGCAGACAAAAGATGAAGTCAAAATGTGTCTACGCGTGGAGCAGTGACACCAGTCCTGCTGCCGGGGTGAAATGCATTGCAGTCACTGTAAAAATTAAACTAACTGCACAAGTGGTGTGGCCTCTTTTCTGCTTTGCCTGTGCTCTCCGAAGGGGGCTCCCTGGCACCCCTGTCTCACTGGGCAGAGCCTGGAAAGCTGCGCGGGGGGGGGGGGCTGAGACCTTCAGCTTTCCTGCCCTGGGCTCCTGTCACCTTGATGGCCAGTACGATGGGGTGGGCAGAGCTGGTTTGTAAAATGAGACCAGCATGACCATGCCTGGGCTGAAATGTCTCTGCGCTTATCAAGCTCTGGCTGACGTCCTGAGTGAAGGCCGAACAGGGCCACCGAGCAGGGGCTGTTTTTGTCCTGGAGCCTCCTCCCTGCCTGGATAAACTCGTTAACTGACTGAAACAAGTGGTTATGCAGGAGGAAAAACTAAGGCTTGATCAAACCTGGGTGTTGTAGATGCCCTTTGTTGGGGACTGGGGCAAAGACACTCTGCCTGCTAGGGGCTGCTGCCCTATTCCTGGCCCCCCAAGCCGTGGGGCATCCCCCATGGGAACCTGCTCCCCGATCCGGGAGGGACGTGTTTACTCAGGCCTTTCCTGCAGGGCCTGGAGCTGCCTGAGGGGGTTTTTCCACATGCCCGGAAGGGGCGGAAGGGAGGTTTCTGTGGGGGTTTGGCAATTGTTTTTGAGGCTGTTGCAGCCCAGTGTGTTTCCTGTCTCCTAATATCTCAGGGAGGGCGAGGAGCCGGTCTGTGCTGTCCCTGCAGCCGCAGGATGCCTGCCCCTTGTCCTCCGCACCCCTCAAAAGAGGAGACGGATTCATTGCTGTTGCCGGTGCCAGCTGTGTCCAGGGGATCTTCTCCCCTTTCACCCGTTCCCCTGCTCTCTTGCACCACTACCACGTGCAATCACAGCATTTCTGCCTGTTTCCATGGCCCTGCTTGGCTGGTTTCATGGCTCAAGGGCCATGTGGGCAGCCCTTGCTGCTGGCTGGCATGGCAGGAGCCCCCGGCCCCCTCTGTGGCCTGTGCTGGAGAGATTGGGGGGAGCCTCAGCCCCGCTGTGGAGCAACCCTGAGCTTGTCCTTCCCTTCTGCACCGAAGGAGGTGGCACGGCTGTCCCTTGCAGCCAGTCCTGGGAAGCAGCCACGAAGCCCTCCTGGAGCCAAAAGAGACCCTGCACAACTTGGGCAAGCCCCTGCTCCCTGGAGGTTCACGTTTGCCCCCCAGCAGCTCTGTGCGGAGGCCCGGCAGCCCTGCGGGACCTCTCCCAGCCGCCGTTGTTCGCCGTTTCCCCGGCTGGGGCCCCGCTGGCCCCCGCTCTGCCTGCCCCGGCGCTGCCCTGAGCCCCCCCCAGCCTAGGCCACCCCTGCCCGTCCGTTCTCGGCCTCGGCTGATGCAGAACACCGAGGGTGCAGAACAGCCGCCGGGTGCGGTGGCCGCGGGCGTGCGCTGGGGCCGGGGTGCAGCCTCCCCCCGGGGTTCTCCCCCGGCTCCCCGGGGGTCTGCGCCCACCCGCCTCCCGCGGCAGCAAGGCCTGGGCCCCTCGAGGCGCGGAGCACCCGCCTGCCTGCGCCCCGGGGTGAGGGGGCAGCCGGAGCGGCGGCTTGGGCCGGGTCCCGGGCTGCTCCGGCCGCTGCTGGGGGC